TTAATAGAACTAGATAAGGATTGAATTGTAAATTTCAAAATATGATTTATGGGGTGAGCGTGTATATATTTATTTTAATTATTTGATTAAGAATACTTTGCATTAAAACTAACTATTTTTCTACAACTCATGTTTAATATACATACATTAAATGGAGTTAAAGTAAAATAAGTTTTTAATATTATTGATTTATTATATTTTGTAACATCACAAAACTAGTTACTTGGCATGGTTATTGAACTTGATTTGTCAATCATACTGGTTTCTTCAACTATTACCTCAAATACATCATTATGGGCCATAAAGTCATCAGCCAACTAAAATAAATTATTAATCATTTTTAATATTGCTTGTATAAATTATGGAAATTTAAAGTAAAACATACTTCTATACATTGTTACTTAGGACTTGGTAGTTTTACATTTAAGCATAACAAATTTCTTTTTTGAATACAATAATTATGTTCTTCCAAAATTTTAGTTACTAATGTATCATTAACCTTAAATAAACATTATATGTTCACAATTATATATTCAAAATAAACTATTTCATAATATTCTCATACAAATCTCATCACAGATATTATAAGCTAAGTCAGATGGAAAAATTGAAGGAATGACCCCTTTTTTCAGACTTGGCTGTCTAAGGACTAAGACAGTAAGACAGATCTAATAAAAAAAGAATACAAAAAAGTAGTTTGCATTTAAAAAGAGATTGACATTTTCAAAGTATACGTACTTAATAAAAAATGACAAATAATATGTATTAAGAGATGAGACTACAAGAGTAGTTATTTCCCAATAATAAATACCTACAATAAATTATTATTTATTTACTTAGGTACCGAATACTAACTAGAACCTTCACCTGATGTCCAAGAAGATATATTATCATTTGAGTTAAAATGATGAGCACAAACTCGAGAGTTTCTATTCAAAACAGTACCAGTTTTTTTCCCACGCATTACAATCATTTTGTGGGACTCCAAATTTACTGTCTGAGCTTTGTTGGCAACCAGGGACACAGCATTTATTGGATACCATACTTAATATTTAATAAATACGAATTAAATAATACAATTTCAGATTTTTCATATTACTATCCATATTATAAATTATAATAGTATATTGTTACTATACCATATGCTATAAACAGCATACACACTGTGGGCATCACTCTGGAGACCTTCAATTTCTATACGGCGTTGAGTAACCTGTATATCTTAAATCGTGATATAAAGGCACTCTACACCTAGAGACGTAACATGGTGGTAAACGGTAGTTCCCATAAGCATAAATAAGCTGCGCTGCACTATTGTGGCTCTATAGTTCTGAGCATGCACGTAAAACCAACCACGTCAGGAATAGTTAAAATCAAAAACAGTATAAATACGTAATTATCGTATTATAATTATATCATGATTCATTTATATTTCTTACAAGTTTTAATTGGAGTAAACGAATAATGAATAAACTTGTATTAAGTATTTATTACTAATAAGTAATAACCATATAAACTTAGTTTATAGGTCTATGCTAATAACTAGTCTTGTTTTTGATTTCAACTTTTTCGTTATATTGATTTATTGTAATAATACATCAATGTAACGCAATTTGCATTGACCGCACCACGTCGTCCCATCCACTCCAGCTACCCGCAAAGAACAAGTTATAATAAGTTATAGCACTGTTAGCCTACAGATTTATAAAAATGTTAATTATTAATATGTCTATGTCTCTATGATAAAAATAAAAATTTTTATATATCTGTGAACAAGCCTGATATCAGTAATTCAGCAGTGACACCAACGCGAAAAAACATCGTACATTGAAAGAAGACCAATAATAAATAATAATTAATGTTGTAGTAATGTAGTATTATTGTCCATGGCTAAAATAATTAAACTGTTATAGTTATTCATTCATCCGTTACAATATGACAATGACAAATCACTTTTTCAACTGAACACTCTGATATTACATGGCACATGCTTATGATACTGCATATTATACATACAATTAAACAATTCATAAATACCTGCGTGGCTGTTTCTAACCTGTACGTTGAATTAAAAAGGTAAGTGAAACCAGAATTTTCATAATATTATATTATTATGCATTTATATACAGACTGTATTAGTATACCTAAACGTCATTAGATCATTACAAATTACAATCATTTCCTAACGGCTATTATATTTTTTTTTTTTTTTTTTCGGTTTTCAACCGACGACGCCGCGGGAACTGCTTTCGCATTCTTCCGCGGATCGGCTATTATATTTAGCTAAGCCTAGTATAATGACTAGGTACTAGCGTTTATAAATATATTTTTTTGTTTTTTTTTAATCTAGAATTTATACAATCTGTACGTAAAAAAATTACAGTACCTAAGCATAAAATATGTTTTTTATCAATGCAAATTGATCACTAATAACATCTAGGTTAGATGAGATAATTAGAAATAATTAATACGACGAATTCTTACTATTTGTTTATAGTCACATAATGTAATTAATACATTATGATTTAAGATAAATATAGGGATGAGACGTTATAGGTTGCAAAATTGGCAAGACATGACAAAAAAAAAAAAAATCGGGAAAGTGGATATTGCTCTGCTGTACAGTAGGTTACAAGTGAGTCACTGTAATGGATGGTGTTGAATTTGAATTCAATGATATAAAGTCATTGAAAACGAAAAATTATTTTGAACGAAGATTTTGGTCTAGTCTAATATTACCAAGTATTTTATGATATGAAGGTGATTATAGTAATTAATTTCAGTATAAGAAGAGTATAAGACATTAGTATTTACTACAGTAGGTTAAATTCATTTTTGCCAAAAAAATTACATTTGAAAATGTATTGTCATTGTGTGTATAAAATATAATAATATACTCTATCTGTCATCCATCTACAAATAATATTTTTAAATTTCAAAAAACAACTAAAATCGTTATTCATCGTTTTAATATAATGTCATTTCGTCCAAATTTGATTTTTAATATTTTTTATCTGTCTTTGAAACAATATATTAGGATCCTTCTATTACATTTTCAAGTTTTTTTACCCATCAAATACAATTTTATTGATATTGATAGAATAAAAAACTAAAAAAACTGAAAATGTCCGTAAACAGCTCAAAATAATTAGTCAAATATTGAAAATGTTATCGTTTATAGAAAATGCTAATATAAACATTCAGTCAACATTTCAGTTACTTTTGACCCCCCGCTAAAGTACCAACTAAATTCACTTTTCTATAAAAAAAGATACTATCGAAGAAAAAAAAACACATCATTGGAATTCGCTCAGAATCCAAAATTAAGGCATACAGTTTAGCTCCTAAGTGATTTTTTAAATATTTTCGGAAACCTATGTATATTTAAACGAGTTAAGAACTATGATGGTGCAATAAGAATTTGTCTGTCGGACAATCGGACTTAGTTTCAAAGTTATAACATTTTGAAGTTCGCAATTTTGCGTATTCCCACTCATCCAGTCATCCCTCTAAGATTTTAGATTCAGAGTGGATCAACAAATCTATTGATTTTACAATGAATGTTTGTCATCGCCTTTTGGGGCAGTAAAAATCCTTCAGATTTCTTTTTCAATATATTTTCTTGTAGGCGAAGGAATATAGTTGGTACTTTTGGTTTAGGTGATCAAAAATAAGTAGTTTTCAATAGTTTTCAAACGAGTCAAGAAAAACAAACAAAAAATTAAGGAAAAACTGAGATTTTTTACTACAAAAGTTTTGTTTTTTGGTGCAATTGGATACATGAAATTTTCACCAAATGTTTATATTAGTATTTTCTATACACAAATACAGCATACAATTTATTTTTCTACCAGGGTTTTTTTTTAAAATTACTTTATCATTTCTAGCATATGAAATAAGTACGATAGGTAATTTATGATTCAACCAAAATGTTATAAGGATGAAAAAACTCACTTACAAAAAAAATGTTTAAATGCTTTTTTTGGTTATTTTAAAGTTTAAATTTGAAAACGTAATTTTTGACCATAACTTACAAAGAACATTTTACCGACTTCTTTAAAGCACTGCCATATTGGGCCAGATGCGTATACAACGGGGATCAGATCACCCCCATAAGCATTTTTTAAATTTGAAAAAATAGTGTACTGTATTAGGGTGTTGCAAGGAAACAACAAAAAAAAAAGTCTAAGCTTTTTACAATTTTTTACTTCGTTTTATCCAACAAATGGCAGACTATTAAACTAGTGACTAATATTGCTAATTAGTAATCAATAATCCTACATTAATATTTAATATACCTACATTGGCTACATTTATTTAATAAATGTAAGTATTACAAGAATACAATTTGACCGACTGACCGTCGCCGTAACAACGCTGCAACGATAACGCCTATACATGTCCGTGCAGCTAATCATAAATTTTCTAGCAAAATTATATCATCCTATACACACAAATATAAACCAAACACTTTGGTTTTTGATTTTGTGTTCAACTTTTTTTTATAGGATACATTATTTTTACTAAAAATGCATTTTTAGTTTTTACACACAAAAAATTAATTAATATGCAACAAACTAACAAAATATGCCAAAAAAAACTAAAAATACGGGTATCAGTATGAACTTATTATAGGTTATGCTTATCCCTTTAAGGTCCCCACGCACTTCAGCGGTGGCGGTAGCGGTTATGGCAAAAAAAAAGTCCGGACACAATTTTACGGCTGCACCGCCAAGACAAAAGAATTTTACCGCCACCGCTGCAGTGTGTGGCACCCTTAACAGATTTATATCTCACATATAGAAGACGGGAAAAATTATGCAATTTCTATAACTTCTCATCTCTACCTGCAATATTTTATATTTATAATAATTGTTTTTCAGTTAGGATTTATTATATTTATATATGATATATATTACATATAGTATATACTATACCTATACTTGTATTATTTTAATTATTTTAAGTGAGATAATAATTTGTATTTTTTAGCAAAAAGAATGTCTGATAATTTTCAAAAAACTTATGCTTATAATCATACGGAAAATAATGATAAAAATAAAAACGACAAGGTTAGTAGGTATTTAAAAAAAATAATCAGTTTAATCCCTTTGATTAGGTACTATAATAAATAAAGTCCTACATTTTAAATAAATGTGCCTATTTCTTTATTAAGACATTGGATTTAAAATATATTACATGCATGAGCATAATTTTAGATAAAATAACACATAAAATACATAATAATATTTTTTTTATTATTTTGAAAAATAGGTAATCACGTTTAATTACCAACCTGCACAATCATCACATGTGACAGAAAACAAGATTGTGGTCTTCGACTATACGACCATAGGTATGCAAATTAATCAGAATCTTAATTCATTTGATAATTTAAACGCTGAAACAATAGATTTGCACAAATTGAATATTTCTTACGAAGATATTGTTAAAACGTTTAAAGAAAAACTTATGACAAAAATTGTAGACGGTAAATACGTTATGAGCGATAAAGACGCTATTAATTTTGACAAAATGATAGGATTAGCGTGTATTGCTATGAACGAATCAGAAAAAAATAACAAACAATTAATAACCAAGAACAGCATTTTACAGAATAAATATAAAAATTATGACTGTTTAGTTAATGAATGTAATAGGCTTAAATCTGAAATGGATCAAATAAAAATTAATCTATGTTTAGCATTAAGTCGTAGATTTAATGACAAGGAAGATGTTATTCATTTGACCAATGTTTGCGCTGCGTTAGCTGCACGTGAAAATGAATATTATAACATACAAATGGAAAACGATAAGTTGAAATACGTTATAAATAAACAACTGATGGACATACGCATGACAACGTTAAATAATTATGATGAAATTCTACAAAGCGTAGAGAAGTTAAAAGAAGGACTGCATATTAAAGATCTCAAAATATCACAGTTGGGAGACGAGATATTATATTCGATTAATGAAGAAAAATATATGCAACTACAGTTATTTCATGAAAATGTATTTCAGTTTCCTGATCAGAACTTTCATGACGCATTTGATTATACTCAAAATAATAACGAACTGTACGAAGGCAAAATGTTGATCGCTGAACAAATCATCCAAATCCAAGGATCTAGCGACGTCGAATTCGAAGATCACAAATTGTGTGACCTCATCAATATGCTTGCAAAATTGACAACTGATAAAGAAGATAATTTAAAAACAATTAATAGATGTTTAGTTAGAAATATTGAAGACAAAAATCAACAACTAATAAAAGAAATTAACGATTACAAACAATGGCAGATATATTTGGAAAACGAGAACGAAAAACTAAATTCTCAAATAAAAAACAAAATAATGGTCCAAACAATTTTAATTGGCAAACAAAACGAACATAACAACCTCAAACAAGATTATTTAAAAATGCAATTAATGTACGATAAGTTAAAAGAGAGAGACGCACACTTATTAACGTTGCTGGACGAGTGCCGACAACGATTGAGTGACAGGGAAATTAAATGTGTCGATGACGATAGCCTAATTAAAACGCTTCAATCAAATATAATAGAACAGACCAATAAATACGAACTCGTGAATGCTAAGTACAACAAAGAAAAAGAAAAATGCCAAAAAAACAAACTTTACACTCAACAAACGATGGATGAATTTACGAACCGGCTCCTCGAAAAACAAACCGAAATCGCATTGGTACAAAATGAGTGTAATGATTTGAAACATCGCATTAAGTCAGAAAAAGACTATAAATTGAATTTAAAATGCTATATTGTTACATTAGATAATGTGTTGAAAGAAAAAAAGAAAATCATACACAAGTTAAAAATCCAATACAAACTGCAGCAGCAGCTGCACACAGCAATGTCGCGGTCATCTTCGTTGCTATCCGATAATCATTTGCATATTAACAGTAAATTAAAATATCAAATGGACATACTACTAGACAATGTTGGTACCTGGAAAAATATTATAATCGGTTATGAGAAAGTGGTGAACAACATGCAAAACGCCGCCCAGAGACAGTCTAAAAAAAGTAACTATTGGATAGATAAATATCAACATCTCAAAGATATTGAATACAAAGCAACGTTAACGGAAAATTTAACCAAAGAAAAAGAAGTTATTCTTTTGCAACACCAAAATGAGATTGAAGATATAAGAGAGAAATACAATCCGATAATCGCACACATGGAGGGTATATCTAAAAATATAATATTGTATCTGGTTATGTTCTAAATTAATATCGGTTTTTAATTTTCAGACACACAGGCTAATTTGAGAAATGAAATTCAGGACTTAAAGGAAAGTTTAAAACTGAAAAAAGCACATTTAATGATAGTTGAAAAAAATGCAAGTTTTCAACTGTATGAATCTCTTAAAACTCAGCAACGATTGGCTAAAGTCTGTAACATTGAAGTATGTACCTAATCAGTAATCACAATACACTAGTAATTATTTAATTTCTTTCAAGATTTTTATTGGTATAAGATATTATATATATTAAACAATATTAAAGGGATATATATTATTATAATATACACCCCAGTGCTTGAATTGGAAAAAAATAAAAGGGGGCTGCAAAAATATTATAAAAAAGGTGGGCAAGTGAGTGTCGCTCTGCTGTACAGTAGGTTACAAGTGGGTCACTGTATAATGGATGATATTAAATTTGAATTCAACTTCAACGATATAATATCATTGTATAAGAAAAACGATTCTGAGCGGAGATGGTATGTCAGTCTATGTATAAGACATATTATATACATATCTATGATATTAAACAAAAAATAGGTACCTATAATAAATTCCAAATTAATCATATCACAATATCCATTAGGCATTAGGTACTTATAACGCGTTATACATCAACAAAAACCGTGATACTATCATAGATATATAATAGTACACTTTAGAAGTTTCAAGTACCCACGAATAATATTATTCAATCACAACAAAATAACTAAAATAGTTATTCTAGGTTTTTTAATATGTAATTTCGTCCAAATTTGAATTTAAAATGTCTGTAAAAAATAACTGTGTTCATATATTTTTTAGATTTTTTGGTTTCAGTATGAACTATTTACGAGAACCTTTGTGTTGAATTTGCAATCCTTAGCTATAAAAACTGAACATTTTATAATTTATTAATTACAATGATTGATCATTTTCGAGATTTTGATAAATTTTGTCAAAATTCGATCTTTAAATACTTATAAAAAAAAATAGTGCCTTTGTATTTTTAATATTTTTCAACTGATATTGTAACAATATATTATCATGAGCCTTGTATTAAATTTTTACACTTTTTGGCCCAACAGATAAAACATTATTGATATTTATAGAAAAAAAAACTAAAAAATTGAAAACTGAAAATGTCCGTAAACAGCTCAAAAAGAGTCAAAATATTTTTAAAATTGTATGGTGTATAGGAAATGCTAATATAAACATTCAGTAAATTTTCATGTATCTACAGTTATTCGGTTTTTGAATTACAACAAAATAAGGAAATCGCTACACGATAAATCGAGTGAATATCCAATATTGTAAAATTATGAACTTTAAACTCTCATAAAATCGACTTTCCGGCAGAGATTTTTTATTGATAAAGGTAGACAAACTTATGAGTATTCCTGTATTACATTTTCAAATCTAAGATTTAAAAAGAAAACTTTTTACGAATTCTTAACTCAAAATAATTTGCTAATTTTCGTGATTTTTCCATATTTTGTCAATTTTTGAATTTTAAATGCTTATAAAAAAAACCTGTGACTAAGGATTTTTAATATTTTTCATCTGCCTTTGAAACAATATACTAGTAGCCTTGTATTAAATTTTCAAACTTAACAAATAAAATGTTCTTAATATTTTTAGAAAAAAAAACTAAAAAAAATGGTAAATGAAAATGTTCGTAAACAGTTCAAAACAAATCATAATATTTTGAAAATTTCATAGTGTATAGTTAATGCAAATATAAAAACTAGTGAAAATTTCATGTATATACATTCATTTGTTTTAGAGTTACACCAAAAACCAAAACCGATTTTCCGTAAAAATTAATGTTTTTCCTTAATTTTTATGTTCGTTTTTCCCGGCGGTTGTGAAAACTATTGGGAATTTTAAAATTTGATTTCCTGAATGCACCAACTAGATTCACTTTCTCATCGAACAAGATACTTTTGAAGAAAATCGATGCAGTTTTCTGTCCCAAACCGTGATGACAGACACAAAAAAAAAAATTAAAAAAAAAAACACACATCATTGTAAAATCAATACATTCATCGTTCCACTCAGAATCTAAAATTCGACTTTCAAAAAAGAAAAAAAAATTGTAAATATATTTATATTATAGGTAAATGATTTTTAAACTGTTTTGAGACAATATTTTATAATCGATTTGTCATACCCTCAAAAATATTATTCTCTATAGTTGTTGTAATGGGTGATTTTACATTTTTACTCTAATATTACTTAAAACATAAATAAAATAATTTTATGTGAATGCTTTTTATCTATATGTTCCGAGGGGGGGCAAAGGGAAAATAAATAGTGTGCAGACATACTCTCAAGGTTTTTGACCGAGTAAAATTTTTTGTATTCACATTTATAAAAAAAACAGTAGATAATATATTTCAAATATTTATAAACAGTTCATCAAAAGGATGATTATTGATTATAACTAAGTAGGTATAGGAAAGGCTAATAATATATTTGGTGAACTTTATGGCATATATAATAATATGATTTTTAGTAATTTAGATTATACTATTGAATTATTGTTTTAATACAAAATCTTAGACTCTTAGTAGGTATAATAAACATTTAAAAAATACCTATACATTTTTATTAAAACAATACGTTTTATATTGGGTATTTACAATGTACTATTTTGACACCAAACAATACATTTATTTCGTAAAATAGCGAACTTCATTATGCCATAACTTCGAAACTAAGTCCCGACCACCAAATTCTGACTTCACCATCGTGCTCAGTATAGTTAATTACATTAGTCTAAAAAAAAAATTACAAAAAAAGGGTGTGTCCGGTAAAGTAATAAAGTTCCGGGACCGCAATTGCCTCGGTCCCACTACTCTTCCACGCCCATATTTGTACACAGCTAACATGCACGCTATCTGCTTGGTAAAACATCAACTATTTGTATAATATAATTTTAATTCTTATCATTATTACATTTTCCACCCAGTCACTAGGTAGCGTTAAGACCAGCTGTGTACAACCATAGAACAATACAACGGAAATCAGCGAGACACTTCGGTCCATGGCCGGATTGGTTAGGCGAGTCACCGAGAAAGTTTTGGAGGGCCACTTAAAGTTTGGGCTGCTCGTGTGAGTGTGAGTGAAAATATGATTGGGCCACCTATAAGCTCGTAATAATTATAGACGTAATTTTGGTCCACTGAATTGTAAATGGACCGCTTAGAAGTGAAAATCTCAATTTGCCGATACATACCAATCCGGCCCTGCTTCGTACCCATTAAAAATGTGCTCGTTTCCAGTCCTTTCTATCTTATTCCGTGCTTAAAAGTCAGATGGTAAAAATTTAGCGTTATCTAAGTTTAGTGTACTAAAATATTAAATTGCTTAGTACAAATATTAGTGTAGTATTACAAAAATTAAATTATTGCAGTATCAATCTTATACATAGGGTCACTACTCACTACTCTGCAAGTTATTCGATAAAATGAATAGGCATCCACAATATTAGCAATATGCCAATATGACTTTATGAGTGGCTATTACTCATAAATTAGGTTTATGGTTTTCATTTCAAAAATGCTACTCCGTAAATGTTACAGGAAATATCATGGAGAAGGAAATTATCCAAGTTTTATATTATATTTAGAATGTAGATAGTAATAGGTAATAAGTAATAACTAATAATAATTAGATAATGAAACTAAGATTTTTGTCTGAATCCAGTATTCAATACCTAGTTGTTGTACCTATACCCCTCAAAAAAATCTTTTGACGATATGTATGAAGCACTGTCACTAATATAAATTGTGTATTGACAATATGTTAATATAATTTGTTCAATACAGGTCTTTGATATTAAATGACAAAAACAATGGAATTCCTGAAAATTGCTGTGATTCAAGTATAACAAATACCAGAACGGGCAGAAACAATATATCCCAGGTGAGATGTATACATTATAATAAATATCTACCAAATATTAAAATAGGCCATAATTAAAATTTAATTTTTAACAGCAAATGGAAGGTTTGGTTGATTACACGTCCAAACTTCAATCAGAGAATACGTTTATGAAAAGACTCATCGAAATTCGAAAGGAAAAAATAAGATCACTCGAAAACTGTCTCTGTACAGGGACATCATTACATCAATAATGAAATAACAATCATTTTTAATTTTTAATTTGAATCGACTTTATACTTCTATTTAAATTACTTTAAACTGTTACTTAACTGGAACTATTCAATTTATATCAATAAATTCCTTTTTTTTTATTTTTAGCAATACCTTAACCTATTTGCTAGCTAGATGGCTCTGTCCTCTGTAGGTACTGTTAATTATGATTTTATTTAGTTATTATTTTTATTTTTCTAATTTTTAAAATTTGTATGTTAATAAATACTTTATAGTAGGTAGTACATTTAATATATACAAATAAATTTCAATAGTTGCTGTTTAGTAATTTTATTTGATATCAGTCACAAATATTTTTAAATTGTTTAAGAATTAATACCATTGTTATTATTAGTCAAATATCAAATAAAGTTTATTATTTGTTGGTATATTGTAAATATTATGACATATGGAATATAATATTATATTGTGTTTTTTAAGAATAAATCTAAATATATATTGTTTACGTTTTCCCTAAAAGAACTCATACACACAATATGGATAATAGCTAGAGGCCGACGCGGACCAACGCCAACTATATATAATAAGATAAGCACCTATATTTATATATCATAATGGCATTACGTATGAATCCGGTTGTATTTTCCGGTTTCGATATCCACACGTATACTGCAGTTTGATATTGGAAGTGAATTGTGAGTGGTCACTGGTCTAGTGGTCTGATTTATTTATATGAATTTCGTAGTATTAATACATGTACCCATATGTAATTTTTTGGTATATTTATGTTTTACCGGATACCCTTTATTTTGTTTTAACGAAAGTATGTAGTTAAGCACGTTGAAATTTGAAAATTACGGTGAAGTCAGAATTTGGCGCTCGGACTTAGTTTTGAAGTTATTTTGCTGTTTGAAATCCGAGAACCACCCAAGATGGTTTTGCTATTGTTCTACCGTTTTACATAACATGTTGAGGGATGTTTTCAATTTTAATTGTCCTTGTAATGAAAACAAAAAATTATCATTAACATTATTATTGCTATTGTTATCTTATTATTAGAGGTTATGTTTTTTATATTATAATTTATAAGTAGGTATCTTGTACACAATCACACGTCGCGTGCTTTTTAAATAATTTTAATGATGTATTAATTAATTATTAGTTATGAAAACAGTGTTTGTTTTTAATATAATACACATATTGTTTAATTTTGTAAAATATAATAAAGATACCGTCAAAATATATCAGTTTGAGAGCGAGTGATCACGTCACTCCCGGGTGTATATGAAATCTCAACTAGCTAATTTCAAAAGTCCGAGCGTCAAATTCTGACTTTATCTTCGTATTCAGTGTGCTTAACTACATACCTGCGGGCTACGTTAAAAAAACAAAAACAAAAATGGTGTCCTGTAAAATAGAAAAGTTTCCTTTTCCTATTGACTTCTTAATAAAAATTTCGTTTTTGTAATAATAAAAATCAAATCTATTTTTAATTTCCAGTAGGGTTCTCTGGACTAATTTCAAGTAGACCAGTGGTCGACAACCGGCGGCCTGCGTAACTATTCCATACAACCATTATTTCTGAAAACTTGTCTAAAAGATTTTAATTTTTATCCGACACGAGTACACGACCCCTTTGAGACCTTTTTCATTTGTGAATGCGGCCCCAGAGATCAAAAAGGTTGACAACCACTGAAGCAGACAATAGTTCAAACTCAATTTGTTCCTGAATTGGATCCGATGTATCAAATATATTATATAACACTAAAACGATATCGGCATAGAATGTTTGGGACAATATTATTATATGTATATATCAGTAATTAATAATTATTAAACCAATCAGTAATTATTAAACATATATTCGTTTGAGTATTAAAGTACCTACGGGCTACGGACTGGGATGATAGGCGCAACTAGGGTTATTTTTCTGGGGAGGCTAAAATTTTATCCACTGCACAAACCCTGATAGGTAATTAATATTTTAAACTAAAATATGATTAAGAGACTGTGGGGGGGGGGGTATGGATACAACTGGGAGCTGTGTAAAATGTTTTTTTTAGCTACTTCCTTCTGCATAAACCGTATCAGCTGTGTTTCCGATTATTGTTAGTTATATTAAATTACGTATGGTACATCTGCTTACAGCAAACCACTTTCACCGGCAAAAAGAGAGTGTGGACTGGCGGCGGCCCGCCTTTCGTCTTCACTTCCCGGTCGGTCGTCGTCACCGTCGCCTCTACAGTGTCTCGATGACTCACAGACCGGTAAAACTCCAAAAACCGTTCAGCAATAGTTTTGGTTTTTAGTATAATATATAATAATTATATTTTTTTTACCCACATAAAAGTTTTCCTTTAAGAACATATTATGCCGTTTTTCATTTTAATGGGTCGAAACATTTTACAATAGATTAACAAAAATGTATCGGTATTTGCAGTGTGCGCAAAAAGTGTGTGTTCCTATCAGCGGGAAGATCATCGTCGGACTAAATAACATGTAACGACTACAGGGTATATACAGATATCAAGTAAGTGCTTAGATAAATTTGCTTTTTTTATATAATTAACTTATACTTCTTGTTAGCATGAAATGCATTTTGTGTTTATGGCATATACGCATCATTTAAATAACTATAAGACTGGAATTACGAATATTGAATCAATAATATTTTTAAAAAGTATTCTTTACATACATACTTTAATTAAATGGAAAATTACATGCATATAAAATATAAATATATACCTATATTTTTAATGTAGGTATATCGTGATTAGTGGATCAGCGTTTAATATTGATCATTATGTAATCATTTTTAATTATATTTTACTTATAGAAAAAACACTATTGTTTATTGTATAAAGTAATCGGTGGCATCCGAAGGGGGGGGGAGCTAAAGGGCTGAAGCCCCCCCCCCCATTGCCCGTATTATTATTAATTTTTCAAAAAAATATTAATCAAGTCAAACTGCCAACTATAGTAAGCAAGACGTAAATTTCATATATGTCTTACCAGAATGAATTCATTTTTGAAAAAACATTGTATTTGCATACCAATTTTCATTTTCTGTAATTTTTCAGTAAAAGTATGAATTTATTACTTATATGAAAGACCTTGTATTAAATGGTCTAGCCTTAGATATATATATTTTATATTTTATAAGTTTTGAACTACAAATTAACTATGGTTTTGACGAAATTTGAACTTAAAATGTTTATAAAAAATAACCATGATGCCTATGTATCGTTAATATTTTAGCTATAATAAAAAAAACTTACGTATTACATTTTTAAGCTTTTTAACCGGATAAATAATTTTTTATTGACATTTATAGAAAAAAAATTTAATTATTCAAATACAATCCAAGTGAAGACGGTATAATCAAACATTTAAATACATTTTCATTTTTTTTCTCCAATTATTTTTAAAAGCACTGAGCATTTTCAATTACGACCTCCTAAAAGTACCAACTAGATCCAATTTGCTTCCAAAAACATACACTGGGCATCGAAGCTTATGATCAGAGAATTTTTTCTACCAGAAAAGTTGAAAAGTTACAAACATTTTAAAATACCTCAAATAAACGTCTGAAATTATTAGACTGAACAAAATAAAAATAAAATTGTAACTAATTTACTAATTTTCAAGCCCCCCCCCCCCATTGAAAAAATCCTGCGAAGTCCACTGAAAGTAATGCAAAGAATATCGAGGTATATTATAATGATTTGGATGAAAATGTTTTTTCGATTTCAATTTAAATTTATAGGTACCTAATTTACTTTATATTTTATAGGCTATATACCAGTGGAACATTTTTTTTGAGGGTGGTTGATAATTTGTTATACGGAAAAGGCACTAGGATCTAGCCGTTCTAGGATCTATCATAAGTTTGTGATGCTGATGCCATAGGTATAAAATATTTTAGACTTTAGCAGAAACCTTCATACAAATTACAATTTTATTTTAATACATCATGTATAATACTTCCACAGAACATTGGAAGCATATTTAATATTTCCTGAAAAGCTGAGGGTTACGACCTTCTCAGTCCTCCTGGCTACGCCACTGCTATAAGTCTAAAATACTGAAGTAGCTATAGGTATTGGGTACTATTATAGCACTTCATAATAGTAGTTGTATACATAATATAACATTATTTTCATAGCAGCTGTATATGTATCAAAATATTTTATGCCATATTTTTTTTACTGTAGTGCACACTTAAATAATTATGTTAATTAACTGCGGGTGCCTACTCAGTATATAAACAGAAACCTATCACTGAAAATAATTTAGATAAACTAATCTACATGAAATAATATTGTAAGCGTGATGAACTTATTTCATATTTGTATAGGTAAGTCTGTAAACTCTTTATTCTATTATATACCTAGTTAAATTGAATATTAAGTTTACCACCACAAGTTTTTACCACCTACAAAGTTTGAAAATGTTCATGTACCATTTGACCAAATAACTTTTTTAGTTTTTTTTGCTTATCAAAAACGTAGGTATACTTCATTTTATATGTACATATTGTAATAACTACAAAATTATGACAATATAAGAATTTTATGCACACAAAAATAAAATTAAATATGTACAATAATTATTACTTATTTTAATCATATTATTATTAATATCAAATATACCAAATATTAAATAATATTTAGTATGAATAATGATCCAGGGCCCATTCCATTTTTTTTTTTATAAAGGGAGATTTTCTTAGCATATAATATCTTTCCACATAGGTACTACTAGTGAATAGTGATACGCGTTACATGGGTTTAAAAACACTGACCTACTGTATTATCATAGTACAGTTTAATATATTACTACAGATGTTTTCAATATTTATATTTTTACACACTAATATGGAACAGACAACAGTACCTACCTTATCTAATATAATAAACTAATTACCTAAAACATTGAATATTAAATGTTAAAATATAAATATATTAGGCAGCCACTAGCCAGTACAGTGTACACCTAGTAGGTACAGTGTACACCTATA